CTTAAAAATCTTTTATGAAGTCTCTTCATGGTTCTGCAATTTTTTTTGAATCTAATGTATGGGCTAAATATTGATTGATTGCATGGTTGAAATTTTTTTGTTCGGATGTTAGGTATATGAAACAGTTTAGTAAAACATTATTTTAATGTCTAAAATTTTAACTGGTTTGCAGGTCTTGCAAAACCAGCCCCTGTTATCGAAACTTTCTTCAGCGATGAACTAGTTTCTGAGTATGTTAAACTGGATGGAGTTGTGACTCTAGTTGACTGCAAGCATGCCATGCAACATTTGAACGAGGTGAAGCCAAGATTTGTAGTCAATGAAGCAGTTGAACAAGTTGCATATGCTGACCGAATTGTTTTGAACAAGGCAATCATCTGGCTTTAAGATTCTGTGATATTTCTGTATACTTTCAACTTTGTTTCTATTCCCATATTGAATGCTAATATATGTTTTAGTCTGTGCTCTAGATTTTGATTATTATTATTATGTGCTTTTGCAGATAGATCTGATTACTGAATCCGAGTTAAATATATTGACCAAGAAACTAAAGGTATGTTTTTTTACTTATGGATGATACACAGACTTTATTTTACTTAATCTTACTAGGAAGGTAATATAATTTTTTGCTATTTTAAATATGAATGTACAATTAGCAAACTGGGTTCATGAAATGAACATGTGTTCATGACTTCATGAGTTTCCTCACCAATTTCATATTGAGTTCACCATGACCTAAAAGATTCTATATGTTTAACCACATGTTCACCTACATGGAGCAAGTCATATATGGTATTGTGACTTGTGAAAGGGGAGTTTTACCTCCTGAGTACACGGCATTGTTAAATTGCAGAATGGCATGGCATTTTTTTGACAATCGCCATAGGCAGTTTGTGAAGGGATGCCCACCATGGGGTGCCATTTGCTGCAATAGGGTGTTTATATGGCAATTTTTTGGCCTTCTGCCATATTTCATCATGGACTCCATTGACAATGGGAGAACAAAACATTATTAAATTATTTCAAAAATCACCAAGGAAGTTGCAAATGCAAGGTATTTCTTTTTTTTTTCCTTTCAAAATAAGGAAGGTCAAATTTTGGATTTGGATCTACAACTGGTGTCATTAACTTTTAATAAACAATCTCATCTTAGACTGGCTAATTTTCGTAAATAAACAATCTCGTGCAAGTCATAATAGATCCAATATATGACTTTTCCTAAATCTTTTTTTATAAAAAATTCCTAGTCATATTCTGCCTGTGCAACCTTGGAGTTTTTTTGAAATAAATACATAATGTACTATGAAGGTTCAGCATTCCCTTCAGCAAGTTGCTAATGGCATCATTGAATTTCATGCAAATAACTTTGTTTTGTTCCAAATTTCACTACAAAGGTAAAAAAGCCTCTACATCATGGTTGTCAAGATCTCGATATTGATCTTAAAATCTTAAGATTTTGCGATCTCATTCACCCCCAATGATCCGGATCTTAATTAGAATTTTGTGTTGCAGCCAAATTGTGAAAAAAAATCGTGAAATCATTGATTTTGTGGAATCTTTGCCAGTTTCAACTATCATTGGCCGTTTTTCGGCCACTATCATTAAAAGGTGTCAAATGCGTGCCTTTTAAAATTATGAAGTTTTAGATTTAGGGTTTTGAGAATAAACATCTCACTTATAGGGTTTGTTTTAACTGATTGACTTATGATAATCCTAGTAATTGATCAAATATGTCCTTAATATCGAACAAATGTTCCATGTGGTAGTAATAAAGTATAACAACTCAATCATACATGTCTAAAGAATATGAAAAAGAGTCATTTTCTCACGAATACATTTGCCTACTAATATATATATACTTTTTCATTTTAGTAGGATCTTACGATTTTTGTTGCGATCTTATGTTTTACGATCTTGTTTCCCCCTCTCGATCTTACAAAAATAATTGAGTAGGATCTTCCGATCTTAGCTACGATTTTATATTTTACGATCTTGATATTCTCTCTTGATCTTATTTAAGATCTCGATTTTGACAACCTTGCTCTACATAGTCTATGATTGCCTTTCAAATTTCAATTGGTCAATGGCCAGGGATTAGTAGTTAAATGACTCAAATGGCGAATTCCTAAACCTTGTTTTCATGGTGATAAATAAAATTAGTTCTCCTGTTGATTTTCCAATATGGCTATATTAGTTCTGTAGTTTTGGACTGAATTATAATTCTTGCTCTGGGGCAAAAGATATTAAACGTCTAATATATTTCTATCTGTTATGAATTATAATAGATATAGCCATTTCATGTCTTATTGTGATATGGTAAATGTATGTGCATGTGTGTATTGAAGAGAAGCTGAGATAAATTTGAATTATTTTCTATGAAATGCTTCTGATTATATTTATATTATTTATTATATCAGCTTCTATGTAGTTATGTATGAATGGTACCTAGCCCCCTTGAAAACATGCTAATAGAATAATTTTTTCATTTATGGGATTTTTGCCAGCACATCAATGGAATGGCACAAATTAAGCAAGCTAAATTTGGGTCTGTTGACATAGACTTTGTTCTGGGTGTTGGAGGATATGATCTTCAGAGGTAAGAGAATAAGAGGTATATTTACCTTTTTTTTAGCTCCTGTTAAAGTTCTATACTCCTCTTCCTATCATGCCCTCCTTTTACTTCCTAAATAATATGGCTATGAATATGACAGATCATAATGCTCAGTAACCCATTTGTCTGTATTTGCTGCAAGTTTATCTTCATCTTGATCAAATGTCGTGATATTTGCAGAATTGAATCTGAGGTAGATGGAGAATGCCCCTCTACAGCGAGCCACCCAGATGATTGTGGGAATGGTACTTATTTAAAACCTTGTTGTTAGTTTCTTATTACATTTTTTCAGTTGTGTTGTTAGAGTTGACTGCAAATGGAAAGATGTTTTTGTTGGATCATGTGGATTTGATTAAATTTCATTATCATTCATGACACAAAATTTCAGCATTTCATTATGCTAAGATCCTTCTTTTCTTAAAGGACTAAAGTAGAAACCGTAGAGAATGAACTAGATATCTTCCATATAGAAATCTAGTCTTGTACAGTGCATTGTCATTTAATAGTCATGTCTACTGTTTTTCATGCTAATCATAATGTTGCCTAGTACATGGGAAAAATAGATCAAAGTGATTAGTCATTGATGTTGGTAGAAGTAATTTTTCAATCTAATTCAAACAATGATAGCATTATACAAGCATTTGTGTATTATTGAAATTGAGATTGAGACAACATTAGATCAGGGGTTGTAATGCAAAGTTGGTTGTCTTTTGTGGTAATTAATTACAAATTATTTCTTTCTCACCCAGGTTCTCTTAGTACTTTTTAGTAAAGTCTTTTGTTTAATTATATTGAGTTCTTCCTTCTCCTTTCTCTACATTTGAAACTCCTCAGTCTAGTGCCATATCCTTCCTTTTCCATTGTTTGATTGGTCATAGTCTGAAATTTTGAAATAACAACAAAGTCTAAGTGACTTTGACTTGATTAACACACTATTTTTCCTGATTTCTTTTTCATCATAATATTTTCTAGTGATTATGAGTAGGTTCATCATTCTGAATGTATCTACAGGATACAAAGAACATCATCATCATCATCATGACCACGTGCATGATTCTGCTGTCACTAGTGTCAGCATTGTTGCGGAGGGAACTCTTGATCGTGATGAGGTAATTGTAATAATTTGTTTCTTTGTTTTTTGGTCACCTAATCAGCCCTATTATGCTTTATTTATGGAGTAGCTAATCCTTAGTCTTCAATCAGTCATGATGACTAAGTTAACATGAATTTCACATCAAATAGATTTTTAAATGGTTTTGTCGATGATAACTTTTGCTCAGTATAAAACTAGAGTTGAGAATTTGCTTATGGAATACAGGTTTTGAAATCGTTTTTATACTTTTCGGCCACTGATTTTGCATAATAATGCATAATATGTCAGTGATAAGTGGGCTATGCCTGTTGTCATAGAAACCTGGGCTTGAAGAATGCATGGTTTAGTTTTTCATGATGTGTAATACATCTGGTACACCAACTTTTTCTTTGAAGTTTTCAGAATGTTATTTATAGATTGTTTTTTTAACTTCCAACCCGGTAAAGTTGCCTTGTGTGACATAATAACTATGTAACTAAAAGTTTAATGGCTAATGATTGTAAAAAAAGAAGATAGACGATCAATCTCATGTCATCATGTCACAAATAGGTATGCTGTCAGACATGATTGAATGTATGTGTTAAAATATTTACATGGTCAATGCAATTATTAAACATATATGTTGATCAATGATATTTTCTAGCGAGCACTGATCATGTTTCTCCCTTACTTTCACAATAAATGATGGTTAAGGTTGAAGATTGGCTCGAAAGATTGGTTGAAGAAAAGGGAGAGGACCTATACAGAATGAAAGGCATCCTGTCAGTAGATGGTTCTGAACAACGATACGTGTTTCAGGTTTTCTTCTACAATATTATCTTTCTTACATTCTATTGCCTATTTGCAATTTTAAACCTTTCAAACTCAAATTTGTTCTTGTGCTCCTACCCTATTTCTCTATTACTTTCAGGGGGTGCATTCCATGTTGGATGACAGCCCAGGAAAAACATGGGAACCCAATGAAAAGAGGATAAACAAGCTTGTGTTCATTGGAAGGAATTTAGACGAAACTGCCCTCAGAAAAGGCTTCAAAGGCTGTCTAGTCTAATATTATCATCACATGCTTTGGTTGTGCATGGCAAAAGTAATTGAAATCAGTATACTAGATGGTGATCAAGAGTATTGTTATTGAGAAAAATTGAAAAACAAAAATTAAACATTAAATTGACATTTGATATCCAAGATATCCAGTTTATTCCCAATTGGACTAAGCACAAAATCTCCTAAAGGTAATGTATTTTTAACCAACAACCATGTCTGTGCTTGAACCACTGCCTCATGTGAAAATATTTCATTTTACACATAAATTTTCAGGTACTCATCCATGCGTGTGTAATTCACCTCAGGGTAAAGCTCAGATGCTTCTTCTCCATCTTCTCCAATTTCAAAGTTTGTCAAACAACCCTCATAGAAAATGTGATAGAAGTGTCCAATTCCTACTTGAAGTTTATAATCCAACCCTGCAAATCAAGTTCACATAAACCATAAATCACCGACACTAGTTGCTTATGACAATAAAGTTTCTTTCCTATAACTTTGTCTGCACAAACTTAATTAGGACAATTGAGTGAATGTTACCTTTCAATGTTGTGAGAAAGCCTTCGGGAGGTATATATGTCTTCTCCAGTTCCTTTCCAATGAGTTTCTCCCAAATTCCTATAAGTTCTCCTTGGGAGAGAATGTTTTCTTGTGGTCTAAGGTATAATGTTTTGTTTAAGGTTCGAGGATCATCTATTGTCTTGATTGTATATGTTGCAACATCATATTCATCCAAAAACACAGCTGCAATCATATATACATGTTCATGAATATTTCATTATTGACAGAAAATGAAACAGTATCAGTTTGTTCAAATTCTACTCTGCTACTGTTACTACACTGTTATAACAACAGTCTAGTGTATTGCAGATCAATAGCAATTCGTTCAAATTCTACTATGCTATGATACTGCTATTTGACAACAATGAGAATTAGATACAAATTTGATACATTGTGTCTAATTTTCTATCTGATTCAATCTTTTTAGTAGTTTGTTGAAGTTATAAAGGTACCTTTGAGTTTTCCATCTCCAAAGAGATGAACTTTGTCCCTTGGAGGAACAAAAGATCCCATCTGAGAGAGGCTGCCAGCAAAGTATCCAGCAAAGAGATTAGCAGAGATGTAAGTGAAAGGAATGTTAGCTTCTTCTATTGCTTTCCTTACAGCCATTTTATCATCAAATGTTACTCTTCCTGGCTCCAATGCATCTCCCATTCTTGCTGGATCTAACCCAAATTCCGAAGGCAAGAACCGCTACCGAAGAAAAAATCCATAATAATTTTAGTATCCGTGTATATAACTTTAAGGATCTGAGATAGAAAACACCAGTGAAATTAAGTTACCTTTACATTGCCAGCTTCTTTGATAGCATCAACAAGTTTGAGTTGCAAGCCAATACTATGACTCCTAATATGAACACCAGAGATGGCACTGATCACAACATCAACCTTCTTGATAGCATCAACTAAGCTTTTGTGATCTGAAAAAGATGCTTCAATCAAATGAGCACCTTGTTTCTTGAATGAGAGAAGTCTTTGAAGCTTCTCAATTTGAAGACCCAACTCTGGTCTTTGAATCACATATGTTTCATGTCCTTGTTCTAAGCTTGCTTTCACTATTCTTCTTCCTATGTACCCTGTTCCTCCCACTACTAAAACCTTGCTCTTTGCCATTTTTTCTCTTTTTCTTTGTGATTCAGTTTTTTGTTTTGGACCTTTGGATTGAAGTGGCCTTTTATTTATTGTGAACTTAGTTTAGCTGAATTAATTAATGTAATACTGCTCATTATTATTATAATATGGGATAAGAAAGAAAGAACAAGTTGTTGGTGTGCACTAATAGTAGAATATTACTTAGATTATTAGTATTAAACTATGACAAATTATGGGGTAGATGGGTAGGTGGAGATATCAAAATGAATTTGGTGTTTAAGATTCTACCTTAGTTGACTATGTGAAGTAGCCAAATTTGAACACAAAACATCCAAGCTTTTCATCTTAAAATTTTAATTGTATTAATAATAATCTTTTACAAATATAACTAATTAATTTATCTATTTTTATATAATTAACAATAAATACTGTATTGAGAACAGAAACATATCATTTCTCTTGAGTGATAAATTTATAAAAATATTATCAATTATCAACAAATTTAATATCATTATTATTTTGTAAATTCTTCTTATTAAAATGTAATGAAAAATAAAGGGGTTACTCATTACACCCTATGTGTTACTCATACTTTAGTGTAACTCTAAAAATAACTTTTAATTTTGAATTTTGAAATTCAGACGCATTTAAAGCAAAAATAATCAACGGAGATTGAAAATAATCCTTGAACATAAATATTACATCTAGATTGAAATAATGACCATATAATTTAAAATAAAATTGAATTTCAAAGTTTGAGTTTAGTCCACTGATTGGAACTTAGACGCGAATTTAAACGCTTCTGCTTAAGTAAACTCGTACATTTCCTTCTCCTTTTAACATTTTTCATTTCAACAAAAGAGAAAAATAATAGAGAATACAAAGAAGGGGCCATCATCTATGATTATAGAGCAATTTCTTCTTATTTTTAAGTCTTCTCATAACTTGAATTCATTGCATTAAAGCTTACCACATCTCTATTCCACTCATTGTATTTATTTGAAACTTCTTTCATTTGCAATCATAGATTATTCATTATCTTTTCTTTTTTGATTTCACATGCATTATGTATAACTAATTAAGGTTTAATTAACCATGACTTATTGTATGGTTTTGTGGAGAAATGATGCACATAAATGCCGTCATTTCATCTTTTGATAAATGAAATGTCCATCACACTTGATGATTTCTCATGCCTCATTCATTTTTTCATATAGGAAAATTATTAAACTATTCCAAGACAAGCATACGTAAGACATTGGAAATGATGGTGATTTATTTGGGAGTTGACCCAAGAAAAACTCAACATGATTTAGATGACACCAGAGAATGTCATGTTAGGTTTTAATTCTTGATGGATCTGTATGAGTACCATCTGGATGAAATTATGGAGGATGATGGTGATGATGCACTGGTTATACCTTTTAGTTTTGCCTGACATATCCATTTTGTGGACAGAAGTGCAACATATGTCAATATTATCCATCTCAAATATTTTATTGACTTGGAGAGGATCCACAAGTATAATTGGGGAGTTTCTTGTTTAGTGTACCTCTACTCCAAACTAGCCGAAGGTAATAAGTCTCGATAGTTGACTGGAAGCAACTGTCTATTTACAGTAATTATTTTGTACATTTACTGATATTAACATCATAATATCAATGCTATATTGTTTTGTTGCTAATATTTCATCTGAACCATTTTCATGCATGGATCCACCAGTATTTTCCATGTCTCACTAACTGTGCATATGTGGGTGGCTACTCTGAGGCCTTGCCACATGCGTGTTTGATCATTCCACTCAGATGGAACCAAGAGACCGAGTTGTTCTAATTTACTATTGACTACATTGTGGCGGATGATATTAATTAGATGTCGTACGATAATCATTGCGAGACACGACATTTAGAGGTGATATCATTGTACTTTAGATGGCTGGTATGTAGGTCTCGACTTATGTATGCTCATCTACCTGAGTCAGTATTGCGCCAGTTTTGGTATATCCAGGGTATACCCAGAGACTCCACCCTTGGTGCTCTTGCTAATGTCCTTCATAGGGATGTTGATGAAATCTTTGAAGCGTAATTTGATCATCTAATGCCAGAGGATGTATGTTGTGTGTCAGCTCCTCATCCATGGAGTATATTACAACTACATACAATTATTTTATAAAGAACCACATCCTTATAAGACACAAGATGCAGGGGGAGATCCTCCAAAACTAGCTCATCAGTAGATCTTAGAGGAGGAATAGGCGAGGAAGGACCACGTCGCTGATGTGTTACCTGCATGTCACCGCATTGTGGCTATTGGGAGAGAGGTCATAACAAGAGACGAGTTTGAGGAAGACACCCCTTAAATGAGCACTCTACATGCAATTTTAGCAGAGACACGACATGTGTTGCAGTATCGATGGAAGATGAGGAACAATGGTGTTAGATATACGAAATAGTGAGATTTTATGTTGTATATGTTAACATTTTTTGTACATGGTTAGTAAATGGATTGATTATGACACGGTAATATTTTATATTTGAAATTTTGACATTTATATATACGCAATATTTTTTTTTCTTTTGATCTTATTATTTAATAACAGGTGTGTATAGTTTATTGTGAGATTGATTTATAAATGACTTATGTAATGTGATATGTAAGTATAGAGTGCAATCTAAAGGGGGATAAATTAGATTATCCAGTATTTTTATAATTTTCTCGATTATGAGCGATAACAATGTTGTTCTTATTTTTCTGGAACTTTTATGAATGTTAAAGTGCTGAAAATAAATGCAGAAAAATAAATAACACCAGGATATAAACTAGTTCCACTTTCCAACCAAGGGTTCATCTAGTCCTCTCATACCTCGTGAGAGATTTCACTATGTTAGAATTTGTACAAACCTCACACTAAGATTACTCATATACTTTTCTATATGAAATGAAAGTTATGCACAGTTTCATTTTTGATGGATATATGAACATTTCAAAAACTTGTTTAAATTATGTAAAATAATGATGTATGCAAGATGTGGATTGAAATATGATATGAAATGCCTTAAATACATGTCTTAAAACCCCTATGAATATGTACATATGAATTAAGGGGTTCCATGAAAGTTTCCCATGCATATCAGTGCCACTGGTTGATAAAAAAGTACAGGTTTTCGCGTGATAATCGATTACTGAAAAGTGTTAATCAACAAGCACTGGCCAACAACTATATTTTTGAATTTTGAAAGCTATTTCATAAAGTGTGTAAATTATGGCAGTTTAAAACTGCCAAAACTTTCAGAAAATTAAAATTTTGAATTTTAAAGTTGGTAATCAATTACTGATGAGTGGTAATCGATTATCTCTGTAACTTATCCATAAAATATTTGTTTTAATGCATATAAATTGGATTTTCCAAATATTTTCAAAAGGTATGCATATGATAGAAATAAGATGAAGTATAAGATGTTTTTCTGAGCATTTTAAAGTGATATAACATGAATTGCATATAATCACTTGATCTTAATTGAGCTAGCTTTTTCTGAGCATCTTGATTATTTCCTTTTATTTAAAATCATATAATCACTTGATCTTAATTAAGCTAGATTTTCAAAAAAAATTCTTTGATAAACTTTTGTCTACATTAAAATCCAACTAAGATAGATGATGAAAATCTTTTTCACAATCTCCTCCTTTTTTATGATGAAAAAAAAATAATGGGAAGTTTTTTTATTAACACTTGACCCATATCTTGAATATCTCCCCGTGTATTTTGAATTGGTTTCCTGAAAATAATAAAAAACAATCATCTATTCCCCCCCCCCCCCCCCCCCCCCCCCCCTCCTCATTTGATATTATCAAAAAGAAAAAAAGTAAAATAAAAATGAGTATAATATATAAGGGAAATGATATAAAGATATAAGAATGCTTATCTTTTTCACATTGCTATCATATGAAGTCAAAATTGATATCAAAGTTAATGTTTTTTCAAAGCATCTTCCAATATATCAAACTTCTATAATTATCATATCATATGGTCTTGTATCTTGAAGGATCAATCTTGATTTGGCAATACTAGCATACGATCTTCAAGTACCTAAAAAAAATTAGTAATACTTATGTAACCAATATTCTTTGGGTCCTCTTGAGTTAGATCCCTTCCTCATTCATACATACTCACCATAAGGAATACCATAATTTCTTATGTAGCAAGTATTATAAGTATTGCCTTTTACATTACAATAGAAACAACTAGGTATGAAAATATGATTCTTTTTATTGACATAAAAGTTATTTCTATAAGGCCTTTTATGATGATTTACAACATGTTCTTTCTCTGGTTCTTCATTGTTGAATTTGCTAGTAGCCTTTACAAAGATGGTTTAACTTACACTAGGATTATCAAAATTAATAAAGCCAAGTCCATATTTATTATTTAAAAATCTTTGACTACTTAACACATTTTCTAAACCAATTTGACCTTTTTCATATTTTATGATCACTTGATTTAATTCAACAATTTTAGACTTATGAGATGAACAATTATTACAGGCTGAATTTTTGATTAAGTCTAATCCATTTTTGTGTTACTAGCCTCACTTTCTAGATTTAAAATAGTTTTCTTTTGTTTTGAACATTTTCTAGAAATTCTCAAAAATTCATCGTGTAATTCATTAAAAGCACTTTCTAATTCATCATATAAAGGACTATAATCAATTTCATAACCAGTAACATCATGTTCTTCATCACTTGAATGATGTGATGTCATCAATGCCTTTCCTGTATGATCTTCATCTGAAGATGAACTTATTTCATTGTAATCCCAAGCTAGCTATGCTTTCTTTGACCTTTTGTCCTTCTTTCTTTTGAGTTTATTTTTCTTTTCAAATGTAGGACATTCACTCTTGACATGTCCTCTTTTTCTATATTTAAATCATGTAACCTTCCTTATTGGAGCTTCTTTCTAAATGATATCCTTTTTCCTTTCTTTTCTTAAGAAATTCTTTAACTTTTTGATAAGATCATCCTTG